CTCTCCTGCGTTACTCTCTACTGGAGCGCCATTCAGACACAAGCACACAATACGGCGTATGGCCGACAAACCGCCAACACTCAACTCTACGACTTCTGACATTCCGTGCACTCCCTCTGCTGTCCGTAGCCTTCCTTCCCGATGCCGCGACCACAAAACGCTTGCATCCATCGACCGCACGGGCATGTGTGGATACCCGACACGAGCTTCGTGATCGTGCACGTGGGTTCCCCACACCGTTTAAACCCAGGTGCAGAGGACGCATCGGTAGGTGAAACGAATCTTTGCATACCGCAGAAAGCAGGTGAAGCAGCAGACCTCTCTGCTGGCGAAGAGGGTACGCCGAAATCGTGCTTCAAGGGGGATCCGCGGACTAGAATATGGACCCCCCCGTATATTTTACATTCTGCGGGGTATTGTGTTTCGGCGAAAAATTGTTTCGTTCCCCGGGGAGTTTCCTTAATTTTGGCTTCCTTAAAGCGGGGTCGACTGTATGTATTTATGCCTACAATTTTTCGGGATCTACCAAATACCTCGAGTATGTTTTAGTGCGTCATATTTTCGTTTTTTCCACATTAGCGTACCTTAATCTTCCTTTCGGTATGTTTTCATGCCTCTATTTTTTCGAATGGTTCATGTTACGCTGTAACAGTTCTCGCCGAAGAGGTTTCCAACTCGGCACTGCTTGACGCAGGTACATACCCCCCATCCGTTGTAGACAATCGGCTATGAAGCCGTGCTCGCGCCCAATTCTGGCAGCGAGTCCAAAACAGTGTCTATGCATCTCTTCAACTCTTGATATCTGGTTGTACTATTTAATGGATGACATACACCAGTTGGCGCGGTTTCCCCGCTTGGCGTCGTCTGTCTTGGAGGTGGTGAGGCTTGTCTATTTTGTTTATATGAACCGTGTGTAGGTCGGTCTGTGACGATATGCCTTAGCTTTCTCCGTCTAGGGCCAAAACGGATTCTGATGTGTATATCGGTTGAAACATGAGGAGGTGGTTTTTGTTTCAAACAACAACAACAACAACAACAACAACAACAACAACAGCAGCAGCAGCAACTGCCGGGTTGCGTCATGCTTGTGTTGTTCTCGCCTGCTGCCTTAGCCACTGCTGCACTTCCTAGACCCAAGCCCATTGGATACGGAAGGACCGACCCCCTCTTCAAGAGTTTTGAGACAACGATATGCCTGGGTTTCTATGTGGCTTCCTAACAACCAGGACAAGTCCTGATCCGCTTCATGTTTTTCTTGGCCAACATGGAAGAGCATCACCACCTTTTTCTTGCCTTAGTATCGACGTGAAGTTGCTCATCAAAGTGCTTGAGACCATTCGCACGTGGGTGTTGTGCTCGTCTGTTTCATTTCCTTTTGGGCAGGACACGCATATATATTGTACACCTTAACTCTCCCCCTGCGACACCCACCCTACTCATTCCCACTCTGCGGTGCGGGGCCCCCTGCCCCACCCCAGACCGGCTTCCAGCAAGACGTCAGCTACCCGGCGGCTTTTTTCATGACGATCGACCTCAGGACAAACAAGGCAAGAAGGAAAAACTACAAACTGTAGTTTGAGCCTGCGTTTGTGCTTCGTCTCCTGCCACTTCGAAATGAGTTGATGATGTCCGTGTGTCGAATTTTTCGTTTGGGCTCAGAATGCATCCGCTTGGCACGTCTTAAGTGTTGTGGCATCTACACTAGTGTGCCAAGGTTTCCGCTCGAGTCAAAGCTGTGCTTGTGCGATGTCGGGCGGCCTAAACATGCATAATATTGTTCATCCTCTCGCCGTGTTTTTTCGTTGGGTTCGGCTGACCGGTCTACTACTCACACCTGCTCCCCTATTGGGCTTTTTTGGTTGTCTATAATTGAGGGGGGTGAGGGAGAGGAAAGGCAGCTTAGCATCTGTTGGAACGTGCGGTGGAACTTCGGCCTCGCGCCCCGGTAGCGCAAACGGAACGCTAGGCGCAAGTTTGGAGGTCGTGCGTGCAAATACGGTTGTCCCGGCAACGAACGACAGTCCTTCACCATTGCACCTTTTCTTGGCCAAGATAACAGTTGATTCCAACCGGCGACCTATCGACTTTTTGTCGTGCATTCGTCGAAACCGAACTTCAATATGATGCCCCCACCCTTTTTCCACATGACGCGACGCCGGGGACCGACGAACCTCCCCAGTTAGCTGAAGTGCGCATGTACGCGCAGAATATCGCCCTCCTGGCGGCGAGGGGGTACACCATGGTGAGCCGTCAATAGTCCGTGCCGCCGAAGCAAATCGCGAATGAAGTCCAATACTTTTATTGTACCCTTGTCACGCAAGTAGGCCGGTGTTTTCTTCTGTGCGTGAAGAATGCAAGAGTCCCCCGTCTTTCCTTCCCATTGCTTCAAAGTGGGTTATGTAGTCCCATTGTTTTGTTGGAATGGGGGGGAGGGGTGGCTCCGTGTGCCCCACGCCTCACATTTTGGCGCTATCCCGATGGACGTACTTCGTACGTACTCACCCCTCACACCGCCCCCGATGGAAATATTGGTTGTAAGGTAGACATCCTTTGGGGTGTACCGCATGGTAATTATGGTAGTTTGCGCATGGTCCACTTCTCCGTTATACTTCGAAGTACAGGTTCTTGCTGTCTTACAGGTAGCGTGGCGGCCTGAATGGGTTATGAGTTCGTGCGTTGACTGCCCAAGCGTAGATGGGTGAACGGATACTGCTGTACCGTCCTTTATGATTGAAGCAAGAAAACAGGCTTTTTTTCTCTGTGGCGTGCTCCTGGTTCCCATTTTATCATGCCATCTCTCTCTCTCTCTCTCTCTCTCTCTCCCTCCTTCGCTGCCGACCGTTTGTAACCCACCTTGTCCTCCCTCTCGCATGTCGCACACGTCCGTCTTGGCGTGTGTATGAAATCGACGATAATCAGATCCCATCTAGCAGCTATGGTCCGGTCATCCGCCCGGTGTGATGATGATGCTGTACACAACCGTTAAAGTATTTTGGGTTCTTCGGCGAGCGAAAAACGAACGATGGCTTCTACTTCTAGGGGTTGCAAGTGTACGGTGACGTTCGCGTAGTTTTATGTTGATGGGGTGGTTTGTATATTCAACGCGATCCCTCCTCCCCCCCCCCCCCC